ATTTTCTCAAATTCCAGGCTCAGCCTCTCAAGTAGCTGGGACTACAGGCGTGTGCCAACATGACTGGCTAGTTTTTTTTTTTTATTTTTATAGAGACAAGGTCTTGCTATGTTGCCCAGGCTTGCCTCGAACTCCTGGGCTCAAGTAATTCTCCCCACTTCGGCCTTCCCAAGTGCTGGGATTATAAGCATGAACCACCATGGCTGGTCCTGAATTACAGTTTTAGAAAATAATTGGATGCTGTGTGGCAAGTGGCTCTAGCTGGTGGGGTGGGGGGAGGCAGTGGAGCAGGAAGTGAGAGACAGTAGTGGACTGAGAAATGTGAGGCAATGAGCAGACTGAGATATATTCTAGGGGCAGAAAGAAAAGAATTGAAGGTTGACTCCCCGGTTTTAGTTGAACAACTGAGCACATGGTGAAGTTATTTATTTATTTTTTTTGAGTTGGAGTCTCACTCTGTCGCCCAGACTGGAGTGCAGTGGCCACTCCCGGCCACCGCAGCCTCGACCTGCTGGGCTCCGGCGATCCTTCCGCCTCAGCCTTCCGAGTAGCCGGAATTACAGGCGCGCGCCACCATGCCCGGCTAATATTTTGATTTATTGTAGAGATGAGGTCTCGCCTGCCCAGGCGGGTCTTGAACCCGCAGGCTTAGGCAATCCACTCATCTCAGCCTCCCAAAGGCGTGGGATTACAGGCTGAGCCACTGAACCCGGCTTGGTGAAGTTATTTACAATCATGGGGGAAACAGGAGAAGCGGTTTGGGAATTCTGTCTGAGACGTATGAGTATGAGCCTGTTAGACCAATGCACAGAAGATCCAACAGTTTCCAGAGATGCAGCCTCCAGACATGCTGCTGGATGAGATCCCTGTGTGGGAACGAAGACGGAGCAGAGGGCTTAGGAGCAGGCACAGGGGTGTGGGGAGAGGGATTGGCCAAGGAGACCCAAAGAAGCAGCCTGTGAGGGGGAGAGCCTGTAGGTGGGACATTGCTGCAGACTTGTGAGGAGGGCACTTTGGGAAGGGGTGAGCTGCTGAGTTGCTGCATGCTGACCCTGCGCTCTGCACCCTGCCTGCATTCACTGATTTCTCCTCACCCACAATCCAATGATTTGGGCATTATCACCCCACTTTCCAGACAAGAAGACCAAGGCCCAGAAAGGCCGAGTGACTTGCCAAGGTCATGGGGGTTGGAGCCAGCATCCACCTCCTGGTAATAGGGCTCCCAAGGCTACAATCTACTACTACACCATGTAGTTCCCAGAAAGGGGGCTTAGCTTGGTAGGCCACAGACTCTGGGTTTAATGGCCTGATGAGGACAAAGATAGGACCACTGGCTTGGGCAACATGGCGACTCTGGGGGACCCCGACAAGCCCCAACTTTGGTGCAGTGGATGGGAACAGGCTGAGGAGTGAGCAGGAGACATCCATGGCAGGCAGCTTGTTCTGCTGGCTTCACCATAAGGCAGAGAAGTGGGTGGCAGCTCGAGGGGATGGGACTCAAGGGAGACTCCAGTGCACGTGTGTGAGCCAGGAAGGGAAAAGGGAAGAACGATGTGTGAAAAAGATGGCTACTCACAGCCCCATGGGGATCGGCCCTGTCCCCTTAATGCTGTCCTGGGACACAGGTGGAACTTGTTATATTCTGCTCATGACACAGAGTAAAGATCCCAGGGCTATGGTGTGGGGACACAGGGCTGTAGCTACCAGACTCCCTGTGCTCCCCTGCACACAGTGCCAGCCTTCCAGGCAAGCAGGCAAGAACTCTGCCCTGTGCCCACGGGGCAGTGAATGCTTGAGGATGCAGCTGGCATGAGAAGTTGCCTCAACTCTTAACAGTAGGTTGAGATACGATGGAGTTTGAAAAAAAGAATTTAGGAATGTCTCCTTTTAAAATTTGTATATTTTAGATCATTTCAATTTTTATATTTTTGCATTTTCAGAATTTATTATAGCAACGTTTTCTTACAATAGTTATTTATTATTTTAAAGCCAGAAAAAAATGTAATTTGGGGAGGCAGGAAATCCCTGTTGATGACTTGATCACTTAAAGTCCATTTTCTGCATAAGGCAAGTCAATTCTCTTCTTTTTTTCCTGGGTTAAAAAGTCCCTCTTGAAACTGTGTTTCATAATGAATTGGGAAAGAACCATGGCACGGGAAGGTTCTCACACACCCCTAGGGTGATCAAGAAGCAGAGTGTGTCTTTACAAAAAGGTACAGGGAACAACAGAACAGTGAAAGCAAACCTTGAGAAAACTTGCCTTCAGAAAAGCAAGCCTCAAGTACAGGCCATGAATTTACTATGACTTGGACAGAGATTGCAACAGAAAGAGTTTAGAGACCTTCATGGTGGACTACAAAATCAGACTTGCAGTCGGGCTCGGTGGCTCAGCCTGTAATCCCACGCCTTTGGGAGGCTGAGATGAGTGGATTACCTGAGCCTGCGGGTTCGAGACCTGCCTGGGCAACTTGGTGAGACCTCATCTCTACAATCAATCAAAAAATCAGCCGGGCATGGTAGCACATGCCTGCAATTCCGGCTACTTGGAAGGCTGAGGCAGAAGGATCACCGGAGCCCAGCAGGTCGAGGCTGCGGTGGCCGGGAGTGGCCACTGCACTCCAGTCTGGGCGACAGAGTGAGACTCCAACTCAAAAAAAAAAAAAAAAAAAAAATCAGACTTGCTGGTTATTCCAATTTTCTTTCTTGGTTGTAAACCCCATCATCTAGATCAGTGCCTGGCATTCAGTAGAGATCAGTTAAATAAATGATTGATTATTATCCAAAAGGAGTTAGAAAAGGGTATAAGAATTACCAGGGAAATGTACAATCTGAAAACAAAATTAAGAAAACCACTCCTCCATGTACGAGAGCATCAAAAAGAGTAAAATACTTAAAAACAACTTTAACCAGAGAAGTGAAAGACTTGAACACTAAAAAACTATTTTAAAAAATCACTGAATAAAGTTAAATAAAAGCTAAATAAATAAAAAAACATTCCATGTTCATGGATTGAAACACTATTGTTAAGGTGTTGGTATCTCCCAGAATGATCTACAGATTCAATTTCTATCAAAATCATAACTATTAAAAAAAAAAGCACAAGCTGATCCTAAAATTCATATGGAATTGCATGGGACCCAAAATAGTAAAAAAAAAAATCTTGAAAAAGGACAAAGTTGGAGGATTCACACTTTACGATTTCCAAAATTTACTACAAAGCTACAGTGATCAAAACAATGTGATGCTGACAAAGGGATGGATACATAGACCAATAGAACAGAATTGAGAGTCCAGAAATAAATCCCTAGAGATCCATGGCCAATTGAATTTTGAATTTTCTTTCTTTTTTTTTTGAGTTGGAGTCTCACTCTGTCGCCCAGACTGGAGTGCAGTGGCCACTCCCGGTCACCTCAGCCTGACCTGCTGGGCTCTGGTGAACCTTCTGCCTCAGCCTTCCAAGTAGCTGGAACTACAGCCGCGCGCTACCACGCCCGGCTAGTTTTTGATTTATTGTAGAGATGAGATCTCACCAAGTTGCCCAGGCGGGTCTCGAACCTGCGGGCTCAGGCAATCCACTCACCTCAGCCTCCCAAAGCGATTACAGGCTGAGCCACCGAGTCCAGCTCCAACTGAATTTTCAACAGGATTACCAAGATTATCCAAGGGGAAAAGAATAATTTTTCAACACATGGTGCTGGGATGATTGGATAGCCTCATGAAAAAGAATAAATTCGAATCCCTACCTAGTACCATACACAAAAATAAATCAAAGATCTACATATAAGAGCTAAAACTATAAAACTCTTAAAAAGAAACATAGGAGTAAATCTTTGTGACCTTGAGTTAGGCACCAGTTTCTTAAATATGACAAGCAACAAAAGAAAAAAAATAGATACATTGAACTTCATCAAAATTAAAACTTTTGTGTATCAAAGAACATCACAATGCAATTGAAAAAACAACCCACAGAATGGGAAAAAATATTTTCAAATCATGTACCTGATAAGTACTTCTACAACTCAACAACAAAAAGGCAAACAACTCAATTTTAAGAATGGGCAAAACCTGGATAAACATTTCCCCAAAGAAGATAAACAAATGAGCAATAAGCCCATTAAAAGATGCTCAACATCATTAGTCATCAGGGAAAATGCAAATAAAAACCACAAATACCACTTCACACTCACTAGAAGGATTATAATTTTAAAAATAAAAACAGAAAATAACAAGTGCTATTGAGGATGTGTAGAAATTGGACCCCTCATACGCTGCTGGTGGGAATGTAAAACAATGCAGCCAATGTGGAAAACAGTTTGGCTTTTCCTCAAAAAGCTACACATAGAGTTGCCATATGACCTGACATTTCCAATCTTAGGTATATAAGAGAAAGAAAAACATATGGTCCACACAAAAACTTGTACACAGATGCTCACGGTAGTACTATTTGCAACAGCTAAACAGTAGAAACAACCCAAATGTCCATCACGGATTAATGGACAAAAAAATGTGATATATCCATACAATGAAATACTGTTCAGCCATAAAAGGAATAAAGTTCTGATGCATACTACAACATGGATGAACCTTGAAAACATTATGCTAAGTAAAAGAAGCCAGACACCAAAGGCCATATATACTATGATTTCATTGATATGAGATGTCCAGAAGAGGTAAATCCATAGAAACAGTAAGTAGATTAGGGGTCACCAGGAACTGGGAGGAGAGGAGGGAATGGGGAGAGAGTGCTTAAAGATATGGAGTTTTCCTCTGGGGGAATGAAATGTTCTGTAATGAGATAGTGGTGATGGCTGCACAACACTGTGAGAGTACTAAAAGCTACTGAATTGTACACTTAAGATGGCTAAAATAGTGAATTTTATGGTGTGTGAATTTTACCTCTACAAAACAAAGAATCACCAGAGACACTGTCCTTAAGGTCCAAGAGTTAATCAAAGCATTGAAATGCAAAAGCTGTCATAAAATTCTTGAGAGCCACTGACCTTGCTTCTCCGGGTTGCGGACCTGGGATGGCATGTCTTGGATTTCCAAGGTCCACTGCCCTTCAGCCTTTTCTCCCCAACAGTGGACAGTCATGAATTCCCAGTTTGTAAATCCTTCATTGGAGAGATCCAGCAATCTGCAATTGGAGATGCAGTATCAGAAAAAGAGGGTCCTGGTACTGGCTGGCTGGGCAGACAGGCCAGCCCCATGGAGGACTCTCTTTGCATTGGAGGAATTATTCCCTAGGAGACAGTACAATCTAGCTGGAGTACAATCCCTGGGTAGCAGGGGTGAGAAGAGGAGAAAGGGGGCGTGACCTTTAGCCAATGCAAGGGCAAAGGGTGCAGGTAAAATGTTGACTATTCTTTCAAATTCTTACAGCAGAATATCTCCTTCTCCATCACCTCCCTGGACCTCCTTAACATTCTGAGAGGTGGGCAGGCCTCATATAGTCTAGTAGAAGATGGGGATTCCATCTGCAGTGGGCTCCTCTCTCCCCTCCTAACTTGTAGACAGAGATCCCAAGTGTACTGGTTTGCTGCAGGTCCAACCACCAGTAACCAGTTAAGCTGGGGGCATCCTGACTCCTCAGTCTACATTCTTTCTACCACCAGCAGGAGTTTATGAGGTCATCACTTTCCTGAAGAACCTGGGCCACCGCCTGTGCTTGCACACTGCTCTGCTGGGCTTCCCAAGAGCCTTTTACCATCAGCCTTGGGGCTGGTGCTAGGACCAGGAGCACGGCCCATGCCCCCAGCGCCTGGATGCACAAAAGCAGACAGAGAGAGCCTGGGCCATGTGACCCTTCCACTGAAGCCCAAAGGGTGTTCACAGAGGAAGCCTTTCCAAAACACTTGCGTGTGGGGTGAATGCAGCATCCACACCCGTCTTAGAGCCAGCTCTGTGCACTGTTCTCCAGAAGACACAAATGAGGAAAAATGGATTACTATTCAAACTTGCAGGGAAAATTCTGTTCCTCCATCTCCAGGGCTTAACTGGTTTCAATAGCCGCCTTTGGGGGAGCTGACGATGGCAGGCCTGGCTGCTTTTCAGTGTGGGTGGGAGGTACCCCCGGCAGGGGTAGGGGAGGAGGAGAGACGGAGGCTCCCGCACCTCCCAGCAGGTTCTGATGTGCCTCCCTTTGCCCTTCCAGACTGGAAAGTCTTTACCAACGGTTCCCACAGCCCCTGGGCCTTCAGCCTTGTATTTTTCAAGCAGAATCAAGAAACAACTAATCGATGCCCTCTCTCCTCCTCCACCCAGGGCCGTCTTCAGAAGGAACTCTCTCTCCTCCGGGGGGACAGACAATTCCAGGTTCTTTTCTCTTACTCGTTCTTTATAATCTAATTTCTTATCTCTATTTTGGAATAACAATTTTTTAAACATAAGGCTTTTTATTCCTCATCAGAAATTCAAATATGTAAGTTTTGCATGACGTAAGATTTGATTTCCAATCTGGGGGCTCTGTGAACACTCGATGTATGCAAATGTTTAAGGGAACATTCTTTGCATGGGGAATAGTGGGAGAAAATATCTAAGAAATGGCAAAGGTCAAGGCTGTTTTTTTTACACACAGAGCCAAGTTGAACCCGACACGCTAGGAAGACAACAAGGACAGACTGTCTTTCAAGTGCTGAGGTACTAAAGAAAGTCAACGCAGCCTTAGTTAAGAAATTTGGCAACCTGGAAAAGTGCCGAAGTAAGAAGGATGTGAAGAAAAGTGGAAGGTAATCCATCCTCAAATACAAACACTCTTGATATAATCGCAAAGTCTGCCTTAGAAAAAAACAAATTCCTGAGACTCAGGTGATGGCCGAGTAGCCTCAGAGCAGTTTTTTGAAGCCCTTGATGGCACAGGGACAGCACAACCTAGCAAAAGGGGTGGATCCCAATAAGCTGGCAGGACCGGCTCTCTTCTATACCAGGGGCTCACAGGCTAGACTGGAGCAGGAGGGACATGAGAAGGGCAGGAAAACAGGGCTGTGGGGGAGGGGAGGCTGGGGCTCTGGAAGGTTCTTGTGGGTTAGGTGGCCGGGCATACACAGACCACAAAGGGCATCCAGGTCCCTGCGTCAGGGACAATGCCAAGCATTTTTATCTATATTATCACATTTGCTTCTTGTAACATTCCTACTGTTTAACTGATGAGTGAGGTGATATTTTCAGAGGTGATGAAAAAAGAGAAGCGAAATGACTGGCTGCTGGGAGCCCAGCTGGGAAGTGAAGGAGCAGGGGTGTGGCCTGAGGTCTCCAAGGTCAGTGCTGCCCCACCTGCCTGCCACCTATTGCTCCAGGCTCCAAGCCTTACCACGGGCTCTCAGTCAAGCTGGGCCACCACCTGTGCCTGCACACCACTCTGCCGGGCTTCCCAAGAACCTTTTACCTTCAGACTTGGGGCTGGTGCCAGGACCAGGAGCATGGGGGCAGACTTGCCTATGTGCCCAGCTTGGTCCAGTGAGTGCAGAGAACATGGGTCTCAGTGTTGGAAAGCATCCCACTTTCCAAGAAATGCTAGAAATGAGAACTTTAAGAGGAAATCTCTGAAACTAAGGAAAGCAAGTAAACAAACACTAGGAGCACATCAGCATCAGGCTGCAGCATGCCTGCTGGCACCCTGAACTGCTCACACCTGTGTTGGCCACCCACAGGCAGAGACAGTGTATGGCTGGGTCTCCCAGCGGGCGGGGGGTGCCCTGTGCTGCTCTTGAGTTATGAAAGCAGAACACAGCAGGGGCTGAGCTTGGTGGCCAGGTCTTGTTGCAGGGATAATTCCAGTGCACGGAGGACAGGCTGGTGCTGGGCCCATTGCCAGCTGCCACTGCCTCATCTTGCACGCTGCAGAGGGACCAGGCTGCCAGGCAGAGGTGTGGAGGGCACAACACTGCCCCTCACTCCTTTAGACAATGGTCCTGTCTGCCTGCAAGTCAATCTCTCTGTCTTATGCAAAGCCCAGCAGTGGTGGAGAGGGCTGAAGGAGGTTCAGAAAGAACAACTCCCAACTTCTGCCCGGCCTTGAAAGCCTTCACTAGACTCCCTTGTTTCTGAATCTCTCTGGCTCCCTATAGCCCAGGTAAGAGCCACAAATCCAGGCAGGTCACCAAGCAAGCCAAGTGGGCCTGAAGCAGGCAAGTGTGGAATGGGGGCTACAGTCCAGTGTACAGGGCAGTGGTCTTGGAGTGCTTCCTGTGGCAGGAGGGGACATAGTTACTAATTCTTGTTACAAAAGAAGCTGAAAATGGTGATTTTTCTATGAAACCTTTTTTCTCCCTATGCCTCTTAGCTAGAAGAGATAAAAAAGTACGCCAAACAACCCCCAGAGCCTCTAAATTCCCATAAACTCTTTCATTCTAATTACCTGCAAATCATAAGAATGCACCAATGTACTTTTCCTGGTTTCTAAGTTTAGTGAAGAAATGACTCCATAGCCTTCCACAATCCACCCACAAAGCTGCAGAATTCCAAGTCCCTGTCTGAGCATAAGTGCTTAGGCTAGAGGGAGGCAGAGAATGGCCTGGGAGTGTCTTCCCCACATCCCATCCAAACACGTGTCTTCTGGGAATCAGGCTTCCATGGGTACAGGTTCTGAAGGTGGACCACTGGGTGGGAGAGCTGGGGGCTGGGGGCCACACAATGCTCCCCATTTGAAGGTCAACTGGCTAGGATCAAAATGATCAATGCACATCTAAGGGCAATTATGGCATAACCAGAATTCCACACACTTTGCCACTAAACAACAAAACAAGACAGAACAACTCCTTTGTCATTTCTTCTGAATGGGAATGCTTTCCAGGACCTTTCTGAAGGCAAGGTTTCAGGGAGCTACTTTTTTTTTTTCTGAGCTGGAGTCTCACTCTGTTGCCCAGACTGGAGTGCAGTGGCCGCTCCCGGCTGCCGCAGCCTCAACCTGCTGGGCTCCGGCGATCCTTCTGCCTCAGCCTTCCAAGTAGCTGGAACTACAGGTGTGCGCTACCACGCCTGGCTAATTTTTTTTTATTTATTGTAGAGATGAGGTCTCGCCAAGTTGTCCAGGCGGGTCTCAAACCCGCGGGCTCAGGCAATCCACTCACCTCGGCCTCCCAAAGCACGGGATTACAGGCTGAGCCACCGAGCCCGGCCCAGGGAGCTACTTTAAAGATTTGTGGGGTCTACACGTGAGAATCTCCAAGAGGATGGAAGCTGCCAGAAGGACTTGCTGTACCTTCCATGTGCCAGGTGCCTTGTGGGGATGCTGTGGGCTCGGACTGGGTGGAGCCCTCGAGCAGAGCAGCGTCAACCCTAGAGAGCCCAGTCCCGTCCTCCTGGGCCTGCCCTGCCTTACCTCTTTGCCAAGAGCTGAGACTTGGTTCCTGAGGGAGAAATCAGGTAGATCTGGAGGTCTCCCCGGCGCGGGTGCGAGATGGAAATGCGAACCACCACGTGCTCCAGGTAGACTACCCGCTGGTCCGAGTGGTCGGCACAGGCGCTGGTCAGAGATGTGGTCCGCAGCGGCTGCACTATGGGGATGCTCCTGAGGGAGGAGGAGGGAGGTGCTCAGGACCTGCACCTGGGTCACTGAAGATCACCCACACAGAGGGCCCAGTGTGGCCTCTGGGTTCTGGAGACCCCAAGAAACAGCAGCCACCGCCTTATGTCTACTCTTGGATGATCCACTGTGAGTTATGTCACCTGCTCAGAAGATGTTTATGGTTCTGGAATTTGTGTACAGAGACTGAAAGGAATGTGTAGACCTGGGCCAAGGTCCCCAGGGATTGGGCCCCTTGGGTGCCCAGGAGGCGGCTTCCCTTAAGTGGTATTTGGCCAACTCGCTTTCTCCACTGCATTTGGTCTGCAGAGCTTTGAAATCCCACCGCTAGGTTTCAAAGACCGGCCCTGAAAACAGAAGTCATAATGCTGAATAACAATAGTCAGACACTGGCCTGATAATTTATGAGGACTAACCCATTTAATCCAGAGAGATGTTAAGGACCGCACTCAAGGTGCAGCAAAAGAGAGGTGGAGTGGGACTCAAGGTCCCAGAGCTGAGCCTGCTGGCTCGACCTCAGTTCCATGTGACTGGCAAGGGTGCTTGCATGGAGCCACACTCAAGGAATACACTCAGAGTCTGTCCTCTCATGCTGGCATGTTCCCTGCATCAAGCCCTGGGTCCCCTCCCTGTCCTGCCCTGTGATGGAAATGGACAATGGTCCTCTTAAAAAACCCAGGACAGTTTTACCTTATGGGATGAAATCTGATGACACACACGAGGCCCCAATCACTCAAGAGTCATTTCTACTTGAATCTTCTGACACACTCCCCAGACAAAGCAGATGTGGTCTGTACCCAAGTGCTTCTCCTGCCTCCTGGCTGGGTCATCTTGCCTATTTTGGGCTAGCAGGACTTACATCTCCTCCACCCAGACCCCCTCATGCCCATGATTCATAGACTGAAGAAGGATGGCATTCTCTGGTGCAGACCCACCACTGCCCAGCAGTAAATTAACAATTCCCACCACACGACTGGGCTCGGCTGATTACAGGAGCGCTTTTCCCATTATGCCCGACTCTCTGCTCGGGAGGCTCAAAGCATATGCTCAGAGCCTCTCAGGAATTATACTGCTTGTCTCTACTGGGCCTGAGTCATAAAAAACAATCAAAACAGTTATAAACAGTGATGTAATGCCCTTGGAGACTCTGTAAATATTTGAAAACATGCTTTGCATGCACCACCAATTGATTTAGAGATGCTGACTTCTTTCATTGCCTTCTCCCAAGTTTTACTGTCAGTGTTTTCCAGTCAGCCAGCCCTGCTGTGGCAGATGCAGAATACCAGAGAAATCTCCAGAGTTTTCCAGGTCCTGCAGGGTACATGCGTATCTCCAGGTGAAGCGTTCGACCATACTCCCAACCTCCACTCCTCATTAAGAATGCAAAGTGGGTGTGTTGGGGTTCCCCTGGAGCTTCAAAATGTGACTCCCAGTCAAGACCCCAAGACCCAGGAATAACCCTACACCCTCGAACTTTGAACACCTTATCAGGGCTGACTAGCAAGATCAAGCTGAAACAGAAACAAAAGCTATTTAAACAGAAGTGAAAACACTGTCCCTACTTCCCAACCATTTGCTAACTGGCAGAGAAAGCAATCAACCTGTTCTAGAAATAGACCTGGAATCCTATGGAGGACACCTTAATCTCACTGATAAAGTACAGGATTTAAGAGAACAGGAACAGGGTAAAAGAAAAGACAGCCAACCTCATCCCTCACCTGTGTGATACCCTGTGCCTAACCACAATGTCAATACCTGCAGAAAAAAAAAATCATCTGGCTAAGAGTGTTAAAGCCTCTTGCATCTGACCCTCTGATTCCTGCTAAGGGACTCACTCCAGTTGCTGGTAAGGAAGGTGGGGCTGAGTCTAGTCCACAGGGAGTGAGTGCTACTGCCTGCAGAGAGCTGGGGGTGGGGGGTGGGCAACACTTACCTCCCTTGGGAGTTAATGGCCTTTCTGGGTTAGGTTTTCAAAGCCAAGAGACATTCCCCTCACCTGGGGGCTAGAAGCCAGAGCCTGCTAACTGTAACAATTTTATGTGAAAACTCTTATCCATGAAATCGCTAAGTCGCAGGCCACCAGACTCCTCCTCTGCAAGTTCTTAGGAAGCCACTGCAGGTACAGTGAGTTATTAACTTCCTTATACACGGTTAGCTCCCCCACACATTTTATTTTGGCTGTTGTCATTGAAACAAATAACCTAACATCTCAAATTAGGAGATTTTAAAATTTTCTTAAGGAACAAAAGAGGAGGCTTCAAAATGTTTCATGATAACTGAACTAAAATGTTTCTGTATTTCAGATAGAAACTCCAAGAAGAAGTAGGGAAGCCAAATATCAAAAGTCATCACTTTTAAGGATCTTCAAGACATAAAGCGGAAGTCAATGAAAAAAAAAAATCAAAGTTACTTTCCACTCTACAGTTATTTCAAAGATAGCACAGAAAATGCATGTCAACTGCAAAGTGCAAGGATTATCCTTTTCAAACGAATACAGCTAAGCTGTACTTTAATCATGAAAACTGATCTAGAAAGATTTTACCATTCCTATGATAACAGAAAAGCTTCTTCTGCAATTAAACTCTGAAACTGTCATCTGAGTACATAAAACCATCTTCCTAGGACTCTAGAGGAACCCAAGGAACTAAATGATCCCATAAGACCATCTGTAGACTGAATAATGCTGAAGCCAGGGAGACTTGGAAAAGATCTCTAATTACAAGGAAGTGACTTGTAATTAGAGTGTCCTGTAGAATCACATTTCGGCATTGATGACTCGTCATTCCAGATGTTCTCAACTCATCCAAACTGCTCCCTTCTCCTGAGGAGGCAGAGGGAGGGTTACTGACAGCAGCCGATCTAACAGCTTCCCAGGATCTCCAGACCACTCATGTGTCAGTCTCCTTCTAGTTTTCTCCAGTGCGATATCTCATGAAGATGAAGAAAAGTTCATAATTTGTTAAAATCACACTTAGAGTCTTATGGCATCAGAGTAACACTGGGAGTCAAAAATAAATACTTCAAGTAACCAAGTGTCAGGGAAGAGTGAGGAAGTTGGGCCATGAGCTGAAGCCCTCTGCCTCCGGAGCCTCCAACTCTCCCTGTGTCTTCCTGTTCCATCTGGCAGGTTCCTACGAGTTAGTACATCTCACTTCCCCTCTTGAAGGCCTCTCTCCAGCTTGGCTTCATGGGCCAATCTGGATCCTCGCACAAAGCATTTGCAGGGCTGGGGCAAGCTCTGGGCTAGGCCCAGTTCCTCATGAGACTCTTCTAAGGTCATGAATCAGAAGACAGCAGGACCCTCCCCTCTGCTGCATTTGGCAGCTGGCTGAGGCAGAGGAGGCAGCTGAAGAGCTGAGGCTCATGACAGCAGAAGGTCAACAAGAAGGTCACCCAGGAAACTCTTTCACCAGCCTGCTAACAGGAGTGAGTGGAGTGGAGAGGTGTTAACTAGGATAGACTTGTCAAATTAAGCTATAGCACAGCAACTTGGTTTGCTGGAAGGCACAGAGCGCTGTGTGAGGACAGCAAGATACTTCCGAGTCTCTCCTCAGACCTATGTTCTAGGATAAACATTCTCGACAGGAAGGTCTGAGGTAGGTTATTTCACTAATCTGTGGACTTTCTTATTTATATTAGTTTAAACTGAAAATTTTTCTTAAATGAAATTACTTTTGGTTATCAAGCCATAGCACACCATTTAGGCCAGAAATAAAATTTAACTTAAAAAAAGCAGATAACCTGGTACATTAATTTAGACAATGCTGTCTATGATTAATTGGGCTATAAGATGTTTTAATATATAATGTTTAAATTTATGGCAGACATTTTTCTTCTATGTGAAATGAGGGAGCTGAATTAGCTGGTTGTAAATGTGACTTCTGAGTCTAAGATTCAACCTGACGGGAAGTAAAAAAGGTAATAAAGTATTTAGTCAATCCTCATTATTCACAGATTCCATATTTGCATACTCACTTAATGGTTACAATTTATTTGCATCCCCAAAATCAACACTTGTGGCACTTTTGTGTCATGTGTGGATATTTTGTGCAGTCACAAAATATTTTAATCACTCAATGTGCACACTCCTAGCTGAGGTCAAACAAGCAGCACTTCTTTATTGCAGTCAACAAGTGTTCGTTTCACAGTCTATTTAGTGCTATAGTCTTTTTTCATTTTTTTGTGTATGCATGTGTGTGTGTGTGTGTGTGTGTGTGTGTGTGTGTGTGTGTGTTTTGGTGACTTCACTGTTTGAAATGGCCCCCAAGCGCAGTGCTAAAGTGTTGTCTAGTATCCCTAAGTGCAAGAAGGTTGCTGTGTGCCTTGTGGAAAAAACACATGTCAGATATGTTCAGGCATGAATTACAGTGCTGTTGTTCACTGTCAATGGATTAACAATATATGCTGAATAAAGTGTCTTAAAAAACACACACATAAAATAGGGTTCTGTATTGGTCGGTTGACAAAGATGTGACCAGAGGCTGGCAGAGCCTAACCCTGTATCTTCTCTAGGAGCAATGCTTCAGAATTTGCTAACTCCATGTTAATAGCGACTTCATAGAGTTATAGAACATAACTATTATGAATAACAAGAATCAATTGTATTCAAATTCAAACCCTAATTTTAAAAGTAGTCTTTGCAATTTGGGGAAAACGAATTTGTTTCAAAATCAAGGTAGGAGGAGCAAGGGCTACAGGAACACAGGCAGCTGGTGAAGCTCACTAGAGCCTGCAAGGGGCATCAGAAGGCAGGACAAATGTGGTGGGCCCAGTATGGTCACTCCCAGGGCAGGACTGCACAGCACCCTACAAGCTTTCTGAGGACCTAGCCATGCCCTATATAATAATGGCCCCATAGGAGAAGCCAGAAGCCAGAAGCCAGAAGCCATGGCCTTATACGGTACCCAGGTACGCAAAGGTCAGATGCCCTGGAGGGAAGGGCTGGGTAAGACAGGAAGAGGATGGGAGAGTGGAGGAAATCTGCATAGGTTAGAGAGAGAACAAAGGAAAGAGGGAATTGTCGATTTCTGTAATGATGTCAAACCAGGCTGTGTACTTGAGCATAGCAGCAAGTCAGGCTGAGGGTGTTTGATCCACACCGGTACGCCATCAGGCCGCTGTGGCACCTGGCCTCGCCTGCTTGGTAAGCTAATCTGCTGCAGGTGAACCACCAGGGGCTGGCTTCTGGGTGCTGGCACCTGGTCAAGGCTGAAGGACCCTCCAGGTAGCCAGAGCCCAAGGGCTTTCCTGTCCTCGAAGGCAGTGTGCCCAGCTAGGGACACCGAGGGAAGGAAGGGAAGGTCTTCTGGGCACGTGCAGGTTACTCTCCTTGGTTCACTGCTGCCTGAGTTCCCAGCTAGAGGAGCAAGGGTGACTCTGAAAAGACAGGCAGCCTATGGTAGAAGCTCAGCCCTGCAGCACCTCAACCTGGACCAGTTTCTTAACTCCTTTGTGCCTCAGTTTCTTCATCTATAAAATGAGGATAAAATAGTAGCCAAACCTTGTACCTTTGTTGGAGATTCTTATGTAAAGTGTGCAGAACAATGCCTAATACATAATAAATGCTTTTATAATCATTATCCATTACCTATCATTCATGGTCATATGTCTTTATAAGTAGAGTTGCTTTTGAATGACCATGATATGCAGTGTGGAGTAAGTGAAATGTCAGAAAAGTAAGTAGTATGTGGTTAATCCAGAGTTAATTCCAGAACATCTGTAAATAGATTATCTGCTTTAGAGATATTCAAAGCAATACTTTGGCTTTTGGGACTGACATTATTAGTTAATGTGTGTGTGTGTGTGTGAGAGAGAGAGAGAGAGAGAGAGCGAAAGAGAGAGAGAGAGAGAGAGAGAAGAAAAGAGAAGAGAAGAGAGAGAGAGAAAGTGAGAGAAAGAGAGAGAGAGAGATCTTTAAATGAAGGACAGGCCAAACTAGTCTGTCTGGGTGATAACTTTCCAAACCAGCAAAACTAACGATGTATAGCTACATTCTTATTGCTTTACGTTGCTTTAAAAGGCTCTTTTGTTGTTGTTATCTTTCCAATATTGAGTTGGGAGTCATGGATATCACAAACCGTTTCACAGGAGTCAGAGTTTTTAAAGAAGCAAGAGAAGTAATGGCTAGAAAATCCAAAGGGCCAAAGACGATACTTAATAGCAAGACCTCTTTTTCATTCATAGGATTTATATTAAGCCTAATTTTCTTTTTCACTTGAAGAAAAGCTATAAAAGTATCAATTTTATACTTCTCTATTTAATTCACACAGATTTTAAAATAATTTTGCTCAAGCAGATGTCACTGGTCATGGTCCCATTTATTTTAACTGAAGAAAGGTTCTAAGTAGATGCAAGCCGTGTGTGCCCAGGAGCAGGCTGGCATGCCTCTGATCGACACATGCTTAAATACCATAGCAGAGGCCCAGGTGCAGCTCATACTTCCATTCAGCACCACCTTGGAGGACTCTAGCAAGTCACTCTCTTTTGCAAAAGCACCTGTCATTTTGTTCAAGTGCTTTCCCCTTGCCTCTGCATTTAGATTCAGCATTCACTGACAGCTGCCTGAGACAGACCTCACCCCATGTGGGCTCCTGGAGAGGCAGCTCAGATGCCACAGCCTCGGATCTGGGGGTTCAGTCTGTTCTGGGTCGAGGGGGATGCCAGGCAGCAAGAGGCACCTTGGCAAGATCTGGTAGTGCCTTGGGCCCCTTAATCCTCACCCATGCCCACCCCACCTCTGTGGTCCCCTCTCTCCTGGTGGTCTCCCTGGCCTTCTCCATGCTCCTAGGGACTCTCTCAGGTGGATCTAGTCAGAGACAGGTTAATCCTAAACCCCACAGTCCCGAGATGTGCAGTGTCCAGATGAGAATTGCCAGTGTATCACTTGGGATCCCCTTTTGGCTGGTCCTTTTTTACACTATGTTTGGCCCTTCTTCAAATGACAGAGCACCAATAACAGCTTCCCCCTGAGGGGACTGTGCCTGGTGTGCCCCACTCTCTCCTCGGTAGCCCTTACTGTACTGCGCTGGTGGCTTTTCTGCTCCTTTACATCTGAGTATAACCAAGGAGAGGCCAGGGCTATGATGTATCTGCTGGGGCAGCATTAGAGAGAGGAGTTCAACAGGGAGACACCAGGGACAACTGGTCACAGATGGTGTGCAGTCATTCAGGTCACCATGAATGCCATGCTAGTTTCTGAGCACAGATTGGGTGCAGGAGGGATTCGCAGAAAGGGTGGTCCATCTGACTCATCCTGTAACTGACCACAGAACCGGTCTCCCCTGAACCATGACCATATCCAGGAAAAGAACATAGCCCAGCTAGGGTTGAGGACAGAAAGAGATGTCAGGGCTCTTCATTCCGCCCCTGCACATGGCCAAAGGGGTGGATGCATCAACACCCCAGCCCCCTTACTCAGGACCCTGTGTGACACCATTGTAGACAGTGGCAGGCATGGCCACAGTGCCTTCCAGGGCTCCTGTATTTAACATCCAATGAACATACTTCTCTGATCCTTGGTCCCATCAGGGTGGCATTTCCCTTCTGCTCAAGACGGAGGGCCAGTAACCCTATCCCACGCAGTATACACAGACACACACAGGGTGGGAACACGAGGAGCTGTGCACGTGCTCCCGTCACCCCCGGTTCTGCTCTTCACCATGTCTGGGGGGTTGGGACATTCGCAAAGTCCTAGGATTCCACAATGAGAGGAAGTAACTGGAACGAGGCAGAGAGAATAGACAGCTGAATGGAGAAATGCACATGGAGAAGCAGCAGCGAGAAGAGGGAAATCAGAAGTGGGAACGTTTCCTTTTCATTTTTAAGCCAAGTGATCCAAACAGTCGGGGCAAAGCTAACAAGAATACCCGTGAGGGAAACTGGCCATACCCAGCCCTGGTGAGATGACCACGACAGGAAGGCAGGCTCAGCAGCAGAGTGGCCGGAGCTCCCCCAGGAAAGTGAAGCCCAGCAGTGGACACGTGGCACCAGCTCCACTCGGCAACACTGCTTCTTTGCCAGAGGCCCCATGTCCTCGGGAACCATCAAGCTGTGGAGCTAGCAAGTGGCTTGAGACAGTAGGTTGGCTGAATATTCCAGAAAGAGTCTGAAACTGCTAAAGGTAAAAGATGATTTTTCTTTAGAAACAGAAGTCTGATTCTTCCCCCCTCTTGGAATTTGTAGAGTCTTTACTTTCCTCAAAGGACAGGAACAATGTCATACTGTATGTTACGGCGGGTTTCCTCGACCTGTGCTGTCTAGACTCTGTGTGCTTTCACTTAAAAAACAAAATAAAATAAAAATAAAAACAACCACTCGCCACCTAGGCACCACTCTACCATCTTAAAACGATTTCTGGCAGGAGAAGAATGCTTCATTCAGGAGTCGCCCTGACAGGGAGACCAGTGAGGCCCAGGCCACGGCGCCAGGCCAGAGGGCAGCCCCACGGGTCAGGAACAGACCCGAGCCCAGCCTCCCCTCACTTAACGTTTGATTCTCTGGGTTGCAGGCATTTTTCAACAAACAAAGCCAGAGAAGGCAAAAGGCCTCCTTTATCTCAGAGAATCTCCCACTTGCTTTCAAGTTTGACTAGGTAAGGCTCCTCAGGGAACTGATGCCTTACAAAGTCAAGAGTGAGACCTGCCTGCTGTCTGGGTGACCTGCAGGCCTTGAAGTGACCAAGTGGTCAGTCTGCGCAATTTTCCAGGATGGAAAGGTAATCTTTTAAAAGACCCTTCTGTGGCTACTCATCCAGCGATTCAGCCAGCAAGTACTTTCTGAATTCCTATCCTATGCAAGGCATCCATGAGAAACACTTTTCTCAACAGTGTTTGGCAAGAGAGCATATTATGAGAACATAAGCATATTCAGGGAAGAGACAATCTACAGAGAGTGATCTGTATTTGTTGATCAAGCAATGTATCACTTTTAGTCACAGCATCGCTTCTTTTTCTAACTCTGCTCTTTATCAGATACCAAGGCCTAGAGAAATTCCCACCATTCTCCTTCTTAAAAAAGACAGCGGCAACAGCAGAATTCAGAAGAATAATCTGATTTACTCCCCTAATGGGTAGGGCTCTGGCTTTCTGGTTTACTTTACAGCTGATTTTACCCTGCAACAGAGAAGTGGCAGACTCAGCCACCTCTCCCCATGCAGATGGATTCATACTACGGGCTCTCAGGGCAAGAATGCTGGGCTGGAGCTATGGCTCCAACCTCCAGCGGAGCGTGACGGAAAGGACATGTTTGGCTGCTGCTCATTTCACCTGGATGGGCAGGGCAGATCTCTGAAAAACATCATGCATAAGAATTTCTAATACCAAGGCGTAGGTCTTCAGGCAAGGGTCTGACTCGCTACCATGGAGCATTCTGATGCAGAAGAGGAGAAAGCCTCGACACAGTTGCGGATTAAGAAGCGATTCTTTCTCCAGCTGCATGATCCATAACAGAAAATGCAGATGTGTATAGACACGCACTGCCACGTATACACACATGCGCACAGGAATGCATGTGTAAACACCTTCCCTACAACACCTTATAGCAGAATCAGGCCCAACCCAATGGGTCTGAGGAGTCACCAGTGCTGCCGCAGAGCCTTACCTGGGCCTCTTGTCCGAGGTAGCCACACACATGTGCTGTGACGGCACAGCTGTCCACTTCTTCGCCTCCACGACGAGAGCTTCTGCATCCACCAAGCCAAATCCATAGAAATGGCTAACTGAAAAGACAGGTCCTTCAGAGCCAGGCTCTCCTGCCTCTCCTAGGAGCACAGCTCTGCATTCAGCTGGGCTTCCACGGAGAACAGACCTACTGTGTCACCTTGAGGACTCCTGAGGGCCACAGGCCACAGGCCTAGCCCCTCTAGGGCTGCTCAAGGGGCCTAGCTGCTTGGTTCTCTCTCCGAAACCAACTCCTTCAATGCAGGTAAGGAGTGAGGGCCAGGAAATGCATCCCAGTTTGGTGCAGAGCAGAAGTGTCGAGAGGGTCTCAGACTTTCTTTTTTGAGATGAGGGCGATTTCTTTACATTAAAAGGAGAGTTGGCATCTGTGCTCCCTGGATCTTAGATCAGACAAGAGACACAAAATAAGGCCTCTTGGTTCATGCAGCCACAACATAGCAGGGCTGCACTCATCTTTTTTAGCCATTTTCCTCCTCTGTTGAGTTCCCAGGGTGTCCGGGGAAAGCAGCAGTGCACATAGCCAGGCTTGGAACCGGCCTGAGCCAGTGTTTAATTTGGCCAAGGCAGGAGAATTTCAAAGTTTAATTTAAGAGGCAAGGTCGAGAACTAGATACAATCTATTTTCCTACTTAATTAGGCCAAAATTGAAATGTGGGTCAGCTCCTGTTACAGCACACCACTACCACCAACATTCCTGCAAAACAAAGACGAATTAGGCCCAATCAATGGCCTCCTTATTAAAAGGAATGTCCCTGGGCACTTAGGGTAACAATGCTTGATCTATATTTTATAGATTGTTGTATCAGACTTGGTGTCAAAATAGTTAGACCTGAGTTTCAAAAAAGTTAAAAAAAAAAAAAGAAAGTCCTCCCTAACATACAGTGGCTCAGTGAATGAAATCTCTTTCAGTATCTCTGGTAAGAAGTCAGACAAACAATGCCAGGGGCACAAGCCTCTAATTACTTGCTCCAGAGGCCTCAAATATCTAGGTTAATCCAGCCCTGATTGTGGGTTGAGTTCCATGGTCCCTGGTTCTGTACCAGGCTGGGCTGGAGGTGGAGGCCCACTGTCCTATGAATTACTTTAATAACATAAAAGCTGGCCAATGGAAGTTTTATAGTTACAAAATAACTTACATAACTGTCTCAATGTCTTCACTGTACAGATGAGGAAACTGAGGGAGAGTTTCAAAATCACAGAGCTACTCAGGGCTAAGAATTCGAGTTGCCCTTAGGTGGCCACAAACAATCATTCCTTTTAATAATTATGGATTTCTTTTAATGTACATTAGAAAAAATATATGTATATATATATAAAACTTCCTATAAACCCATGATTAATTAAATGTAGTAAAGCTTCCTTTTAAAATACATTTATATAATAAAAGGGGGAAAGTCAGTTTTTGTTTTGTTTGTCTTTTTTTAGAATGTAGTCTTGCTGTGTTGCCCAGGCTGGCCGTGAACTCCTGGACTCAAGCGATTCTCCTGCCTCAACTTCCCTAGTAACCAGGGCTACAGGAAAGTGTCACTGTTCTCAGCTTAACAAGAACTATTAAGTAAATACTGGTATAGGTGGTCCCTGGATGTGGCGAAGCACGGAGTTTAGGGAACTCTGGACTCTCTCACCTTAGGGATCTCCCTTAATGACAGTGCGGGGTTACAGGATACCTTTGTTAATTGCTGCATATGTGTTTTTAATTCTTATGACACAATTAATGCTATTTGGGGATTCCTTTTAAGGAATTCATATTGCTCCTTACTACACATTCTAAGGGATACCCAGGGGTCCACCCGGACACCACCACCGCACCTTTATGGCCAGCACCGTTGACTTTCCAGTCACTCGCTTTCAGGTGGGCCGGCCGCGAGGTCTTCACTAGCAGGTGTTGAACGTCCCTCCAGGTTAATTGGCTGCTGCAACGACACAACAGAACGCTGGAGCCTACATAGGTCATGCCGACAGCCACACAGGCCGCTCAGAGGTGGAGTCTGAACTGGAGCAAGCCCCTCAGGCTAAAGGACTCCGTTCCTTGTCAAGGGTTTATTTCACAACCTCTTTGTAAGGGACAGTTTCCAGCAACTAAATTCCGAGAAAAAAATAGTACAATAAGTGACTTAAAATCCGTAGGCATTAAAAGCCTAGCCTTGCTGCCAAGCTTCATCTAAGTTTGTATGGGGCCATACAGGAAATTTGAAAGTAGAGAAAGGATGTTTCATGGAATAGTAAATGTTTACCAAGTATTTAAGGTTATTCTTCACCATAATGAGCATATGCACAAGACTATGCTCAAGTCACGATCAGCCTAGACCCCATTCTATCAGACCCACTGGCTATGAATTATAATTCAAGATTTTCACATGTAATTTTAAATTTACAAAATCTTCATTTTGGGGCAAAGTAGAAACATTTCATTAAAAGAGCATATGCCTGCTAATGTAAATACACAGATAATATTGCTCTTGATTTTAAGATACTTTTTCTTGCCTTTTTTGAGTCAGAGTCTCATTCTGTGGCCCAGACTGAAGTGTAGTAACACAATCATGGCTCACCTCAGCCTCAATCTCCTGAGTAGCTGGGACTATAGGCATGTGTCACCATGTCTAGCTAATAATTTTTTTTATTTTTAGTTTACATGAAGTCTTGCTATGTTGCCTAGGTTGGTCTCAAAGTCTGGGGTTCAAGCCATCTTCCCATCTTGGCCTCCCAAAGTGCCGGGATTATAGGCATTAGCCAATGTCAGGCCTGCCTGCCTTTTTTTTTTTTAAACACCTCTGAAATCCAGATCCATCTTATGATTTGATGCCTCTTATAAGTCCCTCCACAGCAATCAGGACTTGGTTAAGTTGCCTGGGAGTGCTGACCTTGGTCCCAGCTATTCATATTGTCACTTCCAGATCTAAATAGTTCCAGGTCTAAATACTTCAGGCCTAAAAGAACTCTTCAATAATTATAAAAACTCTAAGAGAGATGGAAGTGTTGTATTACTGGCAGGACTTCTGGTTTCTCTGGTACATAAAAAGAGTGTATCTTATAACCTATGGCATCTTGAATCCAATGAAATACAGTACTTTTTCATGCTATTTCTAGGCAGACAGTAGAATAAAATAAGATCATTACTCCTTTCTTCTAGTTAGTATTAATTTTTATGAAATCTAGATATTTGAACATGCAAGCTTTCTGCTAGACTGCTTTAAAATATGGTATGTATAACATCTACATATGAATCACTAATCAAAGAAATATATTTTGCTCTATCAAACTAACAGCTGAGTGAAAACAAAGATATATAGGTTTGTGGTTTCACCTATAATTTGACAGATAAATATTTATGGATCTTTTATTCCTTTTTTAGTCTACTAAGTTGACATATACCTATGACCTTTCAATCAATCAGAAAATTAACCAAGAATGAACAAGCATCTCTTGTGTACAGGACTCTCATTTCCTAATATTGCAAACACACACTCTATCTTTCCAGACTCTCTTTTCGGGACTCATGGGGAAGATGACCAGAACAACCCTCAGGCCTATTCCAGGAGCTCACTCCGTGTGTGTGTGTGTGTGTGTGTTTACTGGGGAAGCATACTGTGTCCTGGTGTACCTACAATGAATGTGAACCTGGGAACATGGGACAAAGTGGGACTGGAGGGGCTGCTGCCAAGGAGGACCATGGACACAGGAGGCAGATGTTAAAGTGCTGCTCAGCCCTCATCCTCTTCATGACGGAGATGCCCTGACCATGTCCCCAGTCATCTTTCCAACTGCCCATGCTGTGTGTGTGTGATAAAATGTCTATCACACAAAATTTACCATTTTAGTCATTTTAAGTGTGTAGCTCAGTGGCATTAAGTTCATTCACACTGTTGTGCAACCATCATCACCAGAACTTTTTCATCTTCCCAAACTAAAACTCTACCCATTAAACACCAACTCCCCATTCCCACCCCCTCCCCAGCCCCTGGCAAACACCACTCTACTTTCTGTCTCTATGACGCTGACTACTCCAGGTACCTCATATAAGTGGAATCATGCAGTATTTGTCTTATTTCACTTAGCATAATGTCCCTGAAGTTCATTCATATTGTAATATGTATTTGAATTCCCTTCCTTTTTAAGGTTGAAGAATATTCCATTGTATGTATACACCACATTTTGTTTATCATTCATTCATCCATGGAAACCTGGGCTGCTTCCATCTTTCAGCTGTTATGAACAATGTTGCTATGAACATGGGTGAACAAATATCTGTTTGAGTCCCAGCTTTCAATTCTTTTGGAGATGTAGCCAGAAGTGGGATTGCTGGGTTGTGTGGTGAGTCTACATTTAATTTTTTCAAGGAACCATCATATTGTTTCCCACAGTGGCAGCTCCATCTTACAGTCCTACTCTTTGCCCATTTCCTATGAGAAACTCACCCTCATAGAATGAGTCTTGGAGTGCAACCCTTCCTAGGGGCTCACACTCTCCAGGCCCCAGCCACAGCTTCCCCTGCTCTCACTAATGCTGCTTCTGGCTGGTCACTGGCCTCCTTGAGGTCTCGTCCTATTCATGTCCAGAGGCTCAGTCTCCAGGCCTTTCCCTGGCACAGGCTGACCTGCTCTCCTCCCTTCTCTGTTGCCCCTCCTGCAGGTCAACCTCATTGCTAAGGGAGGATTCCCAGGCTCTGAGCAGCACAAGAACGTGCACTCTAGTGGAGAGGTCACAGGTACAGGCTTTGGAGTTCAGACAGAGCCAATGTGTCCACACCGCGTGTTGGCTGTGCCACCTGCCAAGTTACTGCTGTATGTCAGTAGGGCCTCCTCAAGGATGGCTAAAGCCAGTCTATCTGGAAGTCTAGCATTTAGATGCCAGGAAGCACAAGTTTCAGAGGGAAAAATAGAATGGGTCCAGAAAGGGAGAAAGTTAGAAACCATTTATTTTTTATGAAGAAACCCATTTCATTTTTGATTCTGGTAACACAATTACAAATTTAAGTGTTTGGAAAATACATCTAAGAAATGGTTTTTGATAAAGAAGGTGACTGATGGGAAGCACCAAGACTGCCCCAGACTGAGACCATCTTTGAACAATTCTTACACGTGGAGGTCTCCTTCTTGTCACATGCTGTCTGCAGGCCTGCCTGGGTGCCCCAGGACCATCTGGCTTTTCCCTGGTTCCCTCTACAGTTGTAGTAAACCAAGAGAGAAGGCAACCCTGAGGCCATGCTGCCTATGCATGAACTGTCTCAAGCTCCAGATTTTCCAAAATCAGGCTTTCAGTTTCCCAGACAGCATTTGTTCCTTCCTTGACCAATCTTCTAAGTTTAAAATTCTCTAAGTTGACTTGATTTTAACGGCTTGCCTGATTTTCCATCTGTAAATTTCCACAGAGGGGCTAAAGTGATGAGAAAGGTGACAACCTGAGCTTCCATATGCCCGTGGACCAAGTTTCATGGGTGATCTGTCACGAAGCAGGCGTTTGTTTTCTATCTAGCTCCCTGCATGTTTCCAATAAGGGATAAAAGAAAATGTAGAGCAATGAATTGCTAAGTATGTGAATGCAACTTTCCACACAAGTAACTAATTATTTAGAATGTTTCAAAACAGCCTCAGGATACAGAAACTAACATTTTGGCCTGGAAATGAAAAATATCGAACGGTTTCTTGGTTAAATGGGTAGCATTTCAGTGTTATGCTCTTTGGCCTTGTGCGAATCAACATGCAAACATCCAATTAGGAGAATTGAAGCATCCCAAACATTCTGTTTGAATTACTTAAAAACTCATCTACAACCAATGACTGCTGCAAAGGGCTGGGCTCTTCTGCACTGGTTCTGATGTCTAAACGACCATTTGTTTGTGACTCCATGATTGCATGGGCAGGGAACTTGTTTTCTTTCTGATGCATCTACACATGAACAACTCTAGAATTTTTCTTTGGCTTCCAGCAAACAAAGCATCATCATTTTATTGTCAACTTATAAACAAAAGTTCCTAAATAGAAGTCATGGCGCCCTAAAGTGTGGTTTTGGTGTGAGGTGCAGAACAGGAGGCGGGCTCAGGACCCCGTGTCCCCCAAAGGGAAAGGGTCACTTCCCAGCCATTTGAATGGCCTAAAAAGGAAGGAGATTCTGACACATGCTATGACATGGATGAACCTTGAAGATGCTAGGCTGAGTGAATAAGCCAGTCACCAAAGGGCAGATCCTATGTGATTCTACTTATACATGGTTCCTAGAGTCATCAGATTAACGGAGACAGAAAGTGGAATGGTGGTTGGCAGGGGCTGAGGGGAGGGAATGGGGAGAGTTATGGGCTGAATTGTGTTCCCTCCAAAATTCATATGTTGATTCTTTAGCCCCAGGACCTCAGAATGTGACTATATTTGGAGATAGGACCTTTAAATGGGTAATTATGGGAAAATGAGATTATTAGGGTGGGCCCTGATCTAGTTTATTGGTATCATGAGCAAAAGCCAAGAAGATACCAACCCTGCTGACACCTTGACCCAGGACTTCCAGACTCCAGAATGCTTAGAATATACATTTCTGATGTTTAAGCCCCCCAGGCTTTGGTATTAGGTTATGGCAGCCTGAGGTGACTAATACAGGCAGTTAGTGTTTACTGGACACACGGTTTCAGTGGGAAGAAGAAAAAGTTCTGGGGATGATGGTGGTGATGGCTGCACAACTATGTGAATGTGCTTAATGCCACTGAGCCATGCACTTAAATATGGTTAAAATAATAAATTTTACATTATATGTATTTTACCACAATATAGACATTAAAGATAGCATAAGAAAGGAAGAAAAGTGGGAACTTACTTTGCTTCTAGAGCCAAGGCGATGATGCCAGCCACCATGGGGGCAGAAACTGAGGTCCCAGTGTGGCCATCGGTACAGCGCTGACGCAGATCCGTGGTGACCTGGGGGAGAGGGTGGCATGGTGAGGCAGCGGCAGCAGCAGAGAGGCTGCTCTGGAGTAGGCAAGGCTATTCCTGATGCCACTAATTGGCGGCCTGGGTCCCAGAAACCGAAAAGGTGTCAGGCAAACACATCTCAGCAACCATGGGTCTCAGCATCTGGTACTCATGGCTGATTCGCTTTGCTCTTGTGTGCAAGATGTGGGCCCGCTGCAGGAACAGGCTAACCTTGGGGTGACACAGGGAGACATGACAGGGAGAAGACAAGCAGCTGGGGGCACATCTCAGTGAGCTCATTCTTTTACTATTGCAGAAGCATGTTCAGAGAAACAGGTAAGACAAAGTAGAACCAAGAGGGGACCTCCATAGGCCCTCATCCCTGGGTATCCTGGCATTGTGGCCTGTCACTAACACCCAAGAGTCCCCATGGCAGGACCACCTGCTAGAGCCCATATTAGTGACCCCAAAGCCGCCCTGACTTCAGAGCAGCTGGGGGTGCCCAGAGAGCATTTCTGCCTTCAGGTCACAGGTAGGGTTCTCCACCAGGACATTTTCCTCAGCGCACTGACAGGTTCTGTGCCTAAAGCACCTGGTTCCATCTGCAGCAGCAGCTAAATCTGGAGCACTCTCTACCGACCAGGTCCTGCTGAGCAGAACGACAAGGCCAGCTGTTCCATGAAGGTGAGGCTAGCTCTGCAGATGGGCACTCTGCCTGCCCTCATTGGAGGTGCTGGCTCGGGCTAGGTCGGGGTATTGATTCTGGACCTCACCCCCGCTTGGCCTGTCTGTACCTTCCCTATGAATTGAACTAAGAAGGAGCACTGTGGGTTCAGCCCATGTGGGTTCAGCCGTGCTAGATGGGATTGTAGCCCTCATGATCTCTGTCCCCTAGTGTTACTCCTGTGCCCTCTGCAGATGGAGTTGAGGCTGGTAACCAGCTGGGAGGTTATCCTGATTATCCGGGTGGGCCCTTCAAAGAGGAAGAGGAAGGCAGTCTGTCAGAGAAATGAGGGTTCAGAAAAACTCCACCCATCACTGCTGGCTTTGAAGCAGGAGTGGGGGAACATAATCCAAAGCATGTGGGTAGCCTCCAGAAGCTGAGGACGGCCCTCAGCTGACAGCCCAGCAGGAAATAGGAACCTCAGTCCCATAACCACAGGGAACTGAGCCTTGCCAACCACCTGAAAGAGAAGGAAATGGCTTCTCCCCAGAGCCCTTGGAAAGGAGCATGGCCCTGCCAGCACCTTGGTTTCAGCCTGTGAGACTCTGAACACAGACCAGTCCAGGCTGCTGGACTTCTGAACTACAGGGCTGCAATATATCAATTTGTGCTGTTTTAAGCTGCTACACTTGGGATAATTTGTTATGGCAGCAACAGGAAACTAATACACCCATCCAACCTCCACAAAGCTCTAGCAGTTGACTTGCTTAACCTCTGAGAATAAATTTCTCTAGTGATACAATTCAGGTTCCATCTGCAGCAGCAGCTAAATCTGGAGCACTTTCAACCTGCCAGGTCCTGCTGAACATCTTCCCTGGGCACATTTGAGCTGGGCTGACAACTGCCCAGTGGAAGGGGTCTAGTCCATGTCACACATGCACAGAAAGATGTGACAGGAACACCAACAGAGACCAGTTTCCATCCTGCCTATTTAGCAGGGTTGGCACACCCTGATGTGGGGAGGGCAGCTGAGGGCAAAGGAGAAGGGAGGAGAATGCAACTACGTGGTCCCCAGCATCTTCATGTGCAAAGAAGGTGCCCAGTGGTGACACACTAGTGCTTGGTAGATGGTGGCCAGCAAGGGAAACTGGAGTGACTGGGCAGGAGGCCATACTCCCTAGAGCATGTGAACCCCAGAACTGCCTCTCCAGCTGCAGATAAGGGGGTCCTGGGGAATGAAAAGACACCCCCCTGGGAAGGATCACTGAATCAAAGTGGGCCTCCCCTTCCTGAACTCTAGTACCATGCCTGAGACATGGCTCATGCTAATGAGTGTGAGATGCTTCCTTTAGGTTTTTCTCCTTTCATCAAGAGTCCCATCTCACCAGGGACAGCCCTCACTCTAGGCGGGCACTGGTCAGCATTAACCAGACAGGGAGGGGTGGGGAACACAGGGACAGAGCTTTGACTGCCATCAGAAATCTGCCTGACTGCACAGAGCAGCCGCTTGTCCCCTTGAGGGATGTCTAAGATGGCTCAGAGTAAAAACCGGGCTCTGGCAGACCTGAAAAAAAAAAGATGCCATCCATACTGTCAGAGCAGACTTTCAGGATAGCAGTCATGACTGAGTATGTTTTTCCTTTTATGCCTCTCTCAACAACATTGTTCTTACCTGCACAGTATTGCTCAAAAAAGAATTTTTAAAAAAGAAAAACAGAAACATTTTGTAGCTAAGGAAGGTATATGCACACACATGCACCTACAAATATGCATACACTATTGTGATACACTAAGCAAATCAAGCTGCAAGTCCTGCTTCCAGGGTGGAGTCACCATCCTCCCTGTATACAGTCAGTGGTCCAAAGTGTCCCATCACTCAGCAAGCTCAGACTCACACCCATTTGGCCAAGCAGGCCTTGTCAGGTTTCAGCACAAACGTCTGTCTAGTAAGACCCAAGACAGTCCATGTTCAAATGAGCCAGAGTCCTATGCAAACAGGACACCATTCAGAATCCCAGCTGCCTGTCCCAGGGCGTGTACGCCAGCAGAAAAGAAAAATAACAACTTAAATTAATACCTTAGTTAAGCAGCCCAGCCGCTGCCAGCCTGGCGGCGGAACGACAGTGGCTGACCTTTCACCAGTGCAGAGCAAAGCAGAGAACAGGAAGCCTGTATGCTCCCACAGAAAAGTGTAAAAATAAATTTGCAAATAATTTCTAAAGATGTGGCTGAGCAGAAGGAGAAATGAAAAGATGCTAGTGAGCTTTAAAATTGAACCATGTTTGGCCAGCTCCACGGTCTCATTTTTTAAATGTCTAAAAGTCAACTTAATGGCTGTACATTTCAATTCTGCATTAATTTGGACTGGAAACCCTCCCTTCCTTTTTTTTTAGTAAAAAAGTACGAAGGGAAGGAAAAAGCACATATTCTGCCCATATACTAAAACAGTTGCCTTTTTTTTTCTTTTTTAGAAAGCAGGATTTATTGAGAGGACAGAAAAGCTACCACAGTGGGAGGGGACCCGAAGGGATTGCCAACAGTTATGTTTTAAAAGATAAATCATGCTTATGTCCATGTAAGTGAGTGGAACAGACAGAAACCACTACTTGACTTAAACTTGTCCGGGATAAATTTTTCTGTAGTAATGGAATGCCTAGAAGGACACTTGGATTTCTAGAATGTCTCAGTATAAAACCAAGCCTTTCTCTGATGTTACTGTACACACTGGAACTAGATGGTCAATTGGATCCTAAGTGATGTGACCACAGAATTTGAGAGAGCTAAAACAGGACATCATGAAAACGAACCCCATTCTTAAATGATATTTTTAGATCTCTAAAGTCAAAGAGGATTTTAATTGCTATTTCTGTGCAAAGATTAGAAAGGCACAGTCCAGGGAAGGTTGCCAAGTGACTGGGGTTTACCTCGAGGCTCAACAGTTGATGGGGGAGGCCAGGACCAAGGGTTCCAGAACAATCTGGCCTCGACCTAACTCATCTTTTTATTAAGGGGGGAAAAGGAACTCATTCCCAGAGGGCTGAGATGTGCATTATAAACTCTCCACTTGCCAAGAGGACTTACAATTTTCCGCTCGTAAAAGGCTCCACTGCTGTAGGTGGTGGCCAGGGTGGAGGCGCATTCCTCTAGGTACCAGGGCTTGTAGCCATTCTCGGTGGTGCTGCTCACGGAAATGGTGTAGATGCTGTTGGTGTAGCCGTCACATGAGCAGTAGTCCCCCTCTCTTCCACCGTTTCCAGATGCCCAGACAAAGATGGAGCCTAGGCCCTGCCGGCCCTGAAGGGAAACAAGAAGAACAAGGTATCAGTCCCACAGCCAGAACCTCATGGGGGCGGGTTTCACATGCAGCCTGGAGTCCCACCTCCTGAATGTCCTTCCAAAGGGGACACGGAGGATGCATTCAGACCATCTGGATGCCGCAGAGAGCATGGTTTTGTGGGCTCTGTTTTGATTTTAATGGAGTACTTTTGCCTATGGCAACAGCCCTAAAACTGCAGAATCACAGGATCATATAGGAAAAGGGCCAGAAAAACTCTTCTGCTCTTCACAGGAAAATCCAGGGTCCTAACACAAGCTGTTCTCTTTCAGAGTCATACCTATAATTTCCATCATAATGGCCTGTGATCAAAGAGACCTTGCAGTGCTGCAAATAATACTGAGATTTTGGATGACAGAGGAATTTATAACTTTAATTTTTCTGGGTTGAAAGAGCTGATCTGGTGAAGAAGAGAATGAATTTTCCTGGAAACAGACCTGAAAAGGTGCCCTTCTTGGAGAGTGAGTTAATTTTGCAAAGACAGAATAGGCAAAGAAAGTTATGATTCAGGAAGATGGTGGCCACTTGAGGTGTCCTGTCCAAGTTCCCTGAGGTCTCCGCCTTCGATAAGTATTAGAGACGTCATATCATTATCACAGCTAGGGCCAGGGCCTCGCTTGTGTGTAAAATTTTCTTTCCTTTTTCTTTTTTTTAGATGTGATCTCACTATGTTGCCCAGGCTGACCTCAAACTCCTGGGCTCAAGTGATCCTCCCACTTGGACCTCCCAAAGTGCTGGAATTACCCGGCGTGAACCACTGCACCTGGTTATGTGCAGATTTTTGTTGCTAAGAACTTATATGTGAAAACAAGTATTTGAAAGGCAGTGGTGAGTCAGGATAGGTTCCTGAAGCTCTGTTCTATCCCACACCCACAGTATCAATGACCACTGACCAAACCAAGCATCACCCCAGCCACAAACATGAGCTAGAGATTAGCTGATGGGAGACTGAACTGATCAATGCAGGTCAGATGGCTGGTTCTGCTGGTGGTATACAGTCAGCCCCGAGAACAGTGCCAACATTTGTGTCCATGTGAAACAGGACCCACTGGCTGGTGACTTTTTCCTGAGGCCCTTCCTTTCTAAACACACGGAAGAAATGGATACCGATGCTCAACAATTGGCCAATTTAAAAATCAGGTATACCAAACTCTGCAATCCTTCAATCCCTGTAGAGTCAAATTAAGCCTGCTGCTGAATGGGACACATCACACTCACCCTCAGTGCTCAAGTTCCCTACTGCTGAGTGGATCCACTTGCTCTATGAGGCCACACCAAGGGGCTTTGGAGATCAAGGGAACTCTGGTTCCAACCTGAGGCTCCCAAGAGCCTGCTGGAAGGCTCCTGGTGCTCACCCAGCCCTGTTGCTTAAAGCTGCCTCATTCACTCTGCTTTACGCATCTCCAGGGGGATCCATGTCTGAGGGGCCAAGACAGGAGTTTTTCTTTCCTCTCAAAAATCCTGCTTTAGCTGGGCTCAGTGGCTCAGCCTGTAATCCCGCGCCTTGGGAGGCTGAGGTGAGTGGATTGCCTGAGCCCATGGGTTCGAGACCTGCCTGGGCAACTTGGCGAGACCTCATCTCTACAATAAATCAAAAAATCAGCCAGGCGTGGTGGCGCGTGCCTGTAGTTCCAGCTACTTGGAAGGCTGAGGCGGAAGGATCACCGGAGTCCAGCAGGTTGAGGCTGCGGTGGCTGGAAGCGGCCACTGCACTCCAGTGAGATTCCAACTCAAAAAAATAAAAAATAAAAAAATAAATCCTGCTTTAAAAAAATTAAAAAATTTTTAAAAAGAAAGAAAGAACATGGAAATGAAGTTAAGGGGACTCCCAGGTCTGACATGAAGAGATGTTTTTACTATCTCTGAGGACTTTATTTTCACTTTCCAGATCATCCAGTGGCTTCATATGGAAGTCATGGGATAGAAGCTACAGGGGGCTTTGCAAATCCGGCCATGAACTTGCACTTCTGTTTAGTAAAGCCACAACTTCAACCAAATCAAATCGCATTTTAGCATCTTTCTGGGGAGTGAAAGTTTATCCATGAACTCAGAGGTACCGCTACAGAGGGCTGGCAAATGCTGGTCATCTGGACACAGTGTGTGCTTTCAGCCACAGTGATATCTAATTTCCCTTTGGAATGGCAAGCCAGGTGAGAGGTAAGGGTTCCTAAGGACTGGCATTAAACAGATCTCTGTGCCAAATTATAGGTTCTGAAGTCTCCTACCACCAGTCCACATCATCTACCAAAAATGAAGTCAGATTTCACAGAAGACTGCAGGTGACAAATTGGTGGCAAAAAGGAAAACATATGGAAGAATGCGGTTTGGTTTGAGATCATCGAATCTCTGGGAGGGTTTTCAGTGACAGCTTTAGACAGCTATGATTTAAGGCAAGAATGAGGGTGAAGCACGTGGCCCCCTATGTCCCTTCCCCACTCCCCTGACAGCCTGATGAAGCCAACACTGTTCAGAACTCAGAATGCAAAGACCCCCTCTTTGCAGCCTCAACTTTCCAATGTCTTTCATGGGTTCCATCTACACAAGCCTAAGTGAAGCAGAGAGCCCAAACAATCACTGGAAAATGACCATTACCTCTCCTGGAACCAAGGGGCCTCATACTAAGAGTTCATATCTTTAGAAGTCATCCTGTAGAAATGACAGACACTCAGCATTAACACTCTTCCAAGCAATATGTTTCATATTAAAAAAAAGCAATCTCTAACTTAGCCACCCTCTCTGAAGCTTAGAGTCGGCTTAATTTTTAGGATATTTCACTTGTCATCAGGATTGAGATCTAAGTGATCTAGTGGGTGGAGTGGGGAGCTGAGGAAGAGAAAGATATGATTTATGTATTTGGCAGCCTCTGCAGGCAGTGGCTGGCTTGGTCACGCCTGCGTCTGCCAGCACTGCTCAGCCCAGCCTGTGGCCAAGCGGGTGCTCAGAAACCTGACTGAAGCCACTTCTGTGTTTTCTTGGAGTTGTGGAGACCAAGGAAGCCATCACGTAACTGAAGAATGCACTTGAGGTCCCAGACTGTAGACGTATGTGTGTGTGTGTCTCCACTGCCCCTCTTCCTCGACTTTTCTTCTTGTATTGCATGTAAGGGTGCTGTGTGTTCTGAGGGACACAGGGATGGACACTCATGCATTTGATCACTAGTTTCTCAGGCAGTGGAGGAGGAGGGGCAGGCCAGGTGTGGCTGGCAGGAGGCAGAGCACAGGATATAGGCCCGATGCCCGGAAAGGGTAAGAAAATGGAAGAAACTCCAGGGTATCACCAGGCATCAGGGCTGGGGGCCTTCTCAGGGAAAAATAATCATCCCCATAGGAGGAAATCAATAGGTAGTGATCAAACCAAATGCGCCAGGAAAGCAATCAAATGATATTATTTAGAGAAAGGAAATCATGAAAAAAAATTTTTTTTAATTGCTCCTCTGTGGGGTAGGTGCAGGGGGGTGGGCAGAGGGGGAGACAAAGAAAGGCTGTTTGCAATATAATCCTCTGGTACTATTTGATTTACTTAGTAACTGTTTATTAGTCACATTTCAATCACCGTGCATGGGTTATGATACAATAAGAACTCTGAAAAATGTTTTAAATAATACAAGTAATGAAATGGGCTTGACTTTTGCTGCTCCCCTCCCCAGTTCCTCGTCAGGAGAAGTCAAAGAAGCCTGGACTTCTTGCTGGGACTCCTTGCTGCCCCCCACCCCTACCCCAGCAGTCACTGGCCACACATTATGCTCTGGCCTGTGGTCTGCTGGGCCACCCAGGGACTCCTGGACGCTGACCATATTTTTGTCTGCCTGCTCCAAAAAGCTGTCCTCACCCAGAAATCTGCCTTGCCATCTGCCCTGTGAGCACTGGTCCATCTTTAGCCACCCCTTCTCAACCCTCAGCCTTCCTGACTCATAAGGATCCAGAATCAGTGATCACAGAGCAGCTGGCATGGAGGTCTCCCAGGAGGATCCTGCCAGCCTCCTTGGCCTCCCCTCAGCTGGTCAGGAGAGAACCAGCCTCGCAGGTCTTGACTGCTTAGCCCTTGGTGAGGCTCTACCCAAGACATTCTAATTGTGCTGGGCTGTGTGCTGGCGGGAGGTGTCCAGACCATGGCGTAGTGGGGCCCTGGATTAACACACCCCACGACAGATGCAGAAGGCTCCATGGTTGGGTATTTCTGTGGGCAGATGGGCCGAGGCCCAGTACCCCCATCCACCTGCATTGTCCAAGTGAGAGGCCAGGTGGCCTGACTCGGACCTCTCCTATCCACCAGCACACACCCTTCCACGGAGGACAGGCACACTCTCAGGCAGAGAGGGCTGGGCTGGCAGATGACCAGCTGGTCCTCATTGGAGCAGCTGTTCTGGAAAAAGGTGAAACACTTCTGCTTTCCTTGGTAAAGACCCACTTCCCAGAGCCCCTAAGTGACCCCTCCCTTGCCCTGGCCCTGGCACTTGGCACAGCAGGGCCTTGTCCGTTTTCCTGTTTGAGGGCTGTGGCTTGTGTGGCTCTGTTATTTAATTGTTAAAACTGCTGATTGCCACCCTCGCCCAGAGAGCTCCCCTGCAGCCCTAGGTCACTCACACCTTTTTAATGCCGTACTCGAAAGCTTGCTTGGCCAGCCGGCCAGGCCCGTCTACCGTCTTCCCGTCGTCATCCGGCCCCCAGCTGGCACTATATATGTCGATGTAGTTGGGTCTGATGCCCAGCGACTTCGCCTCCACCACGTCTGTGACGTCGCCGTCCAGCATGCGGATGCCTGAAAGCACAGTGCAGGCTTGACATCAGTGCCAGTGCTCCTGAGTGCACGGCAATGGCCACAGGGGCTTCAAGCAGCCCAGACAGTGACACTGCGTCATGGAGATCCCCGGCAGGGGCTTTCCCACATCCTTTTGCAAAGCTGGCTTCCCTGCTCCAGGCTGGCTGATGTGTAAAAATTAAAATGATGCCTCAGGCCAAGGCAACAAAGGAAGCCAAGTTGCTTCCAAAAGAGAGGGTCACGCAGCTTCCCTCGGCAACATGATGCCATGCTGGTATCTCAAAATGCACACTTCCATCATAGAACTTCGCAGCCTTTTCGGCTTTCCCAGCTGCTAGCAGTTGACATCTATTTCTCTTTCCTTTATGATTCCATCCCTGATGCATAATTTGTGATGAACCAAATGATGAGCTTTTAGCCTGGAAGACAGAAGCCTGTGTCCTAGCCTGTCACGAAGGGGGATCGGGCCTTAGATGGCACTGGCCATATCCTCTGTCTGGGTTCAGGTTCTGTGTTCCCTTGGAGGGGTCTTTAAAGGTGGGGAGTCCAGCTTCTTCAAGAGCACCCCAAGAGGAAAGGCATGACAATGTGTGAGGAGCTCCACAAACCTACCCTGATGTCTGCCACCCTAGTCAGGGGTCTCCCTCCTTGTCCCATGCCCAGCATCTGCCTCCATTACTGGTCATACTCTACAGTTAGTGGGCTTGTGCCCCCCAGTAAGCCTCCCCCAGAGAAGGAGTCTGAGCAAGGCCTGGATGACACTGGGAGACAGCCACCAGAACCCTCTTCCTGGATATTCGGAGATACATAAAGTCGTACTTTTCTGAGGCTCAGGAGACTTTGCCACCCCACCCTGGATCAGCAGCTTATGGCCACTCAGTACCTACAGCCCCCTACTTGGAGGCCCCAGAAGCAGTTCTATTGTATGAACACCAGCCCCAGCACTGTATGGTCTATGACCACATCCTTCACCAAGACAAATTCTAAATCTGAGTGCTATTTGAGGTACAATGAAAAAGGGGACTTTTTCTTATTGCAAGAACAGTCAATGCTTTTTGTCCAAAGTTTGGGAAATAGAGAAATAATCAGTGATAATATTTTGGATATCTTCTTCTAGTATTTTTCTTTGCCTGTAGCACGTACTTTCTTTCCAAATCCTTTTTTTCTCACTGACATTATACAGAGCATTTCCGTGTACCATCAAAGACTCTTCCAAGACATGGTTGGTAATGGCTGCAGCACCCTCGCCCCACATGCTCACTTCTGGCCCAGGTAGCCTCCTTCTGGGGCTCACCTCACCCAGCAGGGGTTTCCTCTCTCACCCATACTGGTCTAGGCCGATTTGTTTTATATCTCTGAATCTTCATCAATACATAGTGGATACTCAAAAACAGAAACTCTGAATATGATTGACCTTAAACTACAAAATAGTGACTTATCCCTGAACTTAAATGAGGCAGCTCAGGACTCTAAGAGAAGAGCCACAGGAACGACACCCTGGGAGGCAAGACCCTTCCCAGGTGTGCAGGGATGAGTAAAATCCCTACCATCCTATCCACTTAGACGATAATTGTGGCAGTACTGGGCTGTCACTTTTGATGGAAACTGATGGAAACTTAACACATAAATTTCAAATTTTCTTGTCCTCTAATCTCTTACCCAGTAGCACATGGATTGTAAACAGATAACTTAATGTACTTTGATCTGCCAGGATGAGCAGCTTCCTACCTAAAGAGCATTTGGAGAAGATTGTACTGTAATAAATTATTCCATTCTACCAATTAATTCTGCCCAGTTTTTATTTTCTAAAAACATGCTATTTGATATGTACTGGCATAGTTTGGATGGTTATCCCTTCCAAATCTTCTGTTAAAGTGTGACCCCTAATGCTGGAGGTGGGGCCTAGTGGGAGGTAACTGGGTCATGGGGTAGATCCCTCATGAATGGCTTGGTGCTGTTCTCATGGTAATGAGTTCACAAGAGAACTGATTAAATGCGTTTGGCACCACCTCCCCTCTCTCTAGCTTCTGCTCTCATCATGTGACACACCTGCTCCTTTTCTACCTTCCATCATGATTTTAAGCTTCCTGAGGCCTCACCAGAAGCCCAGAAGATGCTGTGAATCAAAAGACACCTTTATAAATTACCCAGTCTCAGATATTCCTTTATAGCAATGCAAAATGGACAAATACACGTACAAGTATTCAATGTCACATACATGTTAGCTATAAAACCTAATCAAATAACAGACACCCTTAACCCTCCACCCGACACAAGAATGAGGATATGACCACCTGGGGGCCTCAACCCATGTGTCTTCACTGCCATCCCTGGCCTCTCACGGGACAATGATCTGAATTTTGAATTATTCATTCCATTGCCTTTTAAAAACTACTGTTGAAATACAATTATACGCATGCTTATATAACATATTGTTTAATTTTGCTTCTATTGGGAATCAATCTTTTGTTGGTAATGTAGGTTATAAAAATCTTCTCCCAGTGTATGCCCTGTCTGCTCCTTTGTTTATGGTGTCTCTTGACAAACAGAGATCCTTAACTTTAATAGTGCAACAGGCCATTTCCCCTTGAAGATCACGGGAGTCATCTGGGGCAGAACATTTCCTGGGTTTGTTGTAAGGTTCTTCCTTTTACACGCAGGGCAGAGTCACAGCCCATGAGGGCTATAACATCAGTTCATTGTACTCTCTCCTTTTTGAGTTACAGGTGGAGAGGAGGGGTTAGGGTGGCCATGAAGTGCAGTTCTTCTCCAAGCTCTGGTCTGCGTGCCCAGCCCTTCCATCTCCATGGCTGTGTCAGGAACACCAGGACCAGGCACTCAGCTCCCTCAGCTGTGAACCTCCAAAAGCAGGGCCACAACCAGTGTGGTATGTTGGCAGTGTGGGACGTTGACAGTGTTGTCTAGCAAAGCAGGGGCCATGGCAAGATGCAGAGCAGCTCACAGTGGAAGAGAGAGAGAGAGAGAGAGAGAGAGAGAGCAGGGGTCAGAGAGTCCTGGGGTGGAATTCCAGCTCTGTGTGACCTTGGGCATGGTCTCAACCTCTCTAAACACCTGTTTTATACAATATTTACCTGCTGGGGTAGTTGAGATTAAAGAAGAGATAAGTTGAGGCCCTGGCACCTGGTGCTGAGGGATAAATAAATGGCAGCAGTGTTATGCATGCCCTTGCTCTCCGGGGCAGGAGACTCCGGAAGCCACATCAGCAGCCAAGACCAATTCTGTGTTCTAGTGGTTAAGCTGAACCTGCTATTCTAGGACTCCTCCATATAAGTGATAGGTGCTAAGATGCCTATTTCTGAACAAGAACAGGATGCCAGAAAACATCCAAAAATACATAAAACATATGACCAGAATGATTTCCCAACACCTCTCACCATGCTTTTCATCTTGGAAGAAGGCTGGCTGATGTGTGGGAAAGCAAGCATCATGTGTTTAGATTTTAATGAAGCATCTATTTTCCCCAACACTGACAAGTTGCCAGCAAAGACAAGGTAAATATTTTCAGTAGAAACCTGCTGTTCCAACATGAGCTTTTAATGTGAATGGCTCTCTGGAAATGCTAAGAAGAAAAACAGTAATCGTTTTTCCTAATGAAAAAAGAGAGACCCATTTATTGCCGAGTATAAAAATTATGTGGACAAATCATTCTGATGGCAAATTAAGTCCCCATTGTTAGCCTGAGAATGGATTGCTCTTTGGCATGCGGATTCAGAGCTCTCTGTGTGTCAGACTGACCCACTCTAGGATGAGTCTGTGGGCACGAGGTGGAAGGAGTGTTTAGTAGGAGGAGGGTGGCTGCTTTGGAGAACCTGGTGGCTCTGTGTTTGGTGGAGTGTTATAGGCTCAGTCCACCCCCAGGCAATTCCAGTTACCCCCAGAAGCTCCACCTGGGAAAATATCATACGGGCTTGCCCCACTTTACATAATATATGCATTCCTATAAAATCACCTAAATCCAACGATAGCGGGGGTGCCAAAAAAAAGTATACACATTTTAAGAGATATTCGCCATAATCAGAAGTGTCTGGATGCTGATGGTAACCACTAGGAGCACCTCTTCTAATTGCAGAAGTCAAATGTGACTGGTATTCCTCTTTTGTTATCAGTATATATTGAGTATTACAATTTTAATAGTTTTCCCTTCCTTAAAAAGCAATTTTTTTTGGCTCCTTCTGTATTTTTAATGGCCTCAGAGAACTTGCTGAAATCATTGATTTTACAAGTCTCTTCATAAAGTTAACAAAGAACAACACCTCTTTTTCCATAGTGACCCATCTTCCCTCTTTTTTCCCTGCTTCTAACTGGTATCTTGACTTTCCAAATAATAGGCTTATATAGGGCAAGGCAAATTCAACCACATGCAATCACCCCTATAAAGCAGCACAAGACACAGCATTTCCCCCCAAACCTTCTGAGAATGCTCAGTGTTAAAAGGCGATGATAGGAACACACACACCCACACACCAATACAAGTAATCAGCCCTCCTGCCCAGGTTGTTGGCATCTGGAGGAGGGCAAGGGAGGGGACACATTGGGCCCACTTTTGTTTATTGAGAAGTAATGTATTTTGCCTTCAGCAAATGAACAGCAACACAGGAGCAGTGAACAGCCGCAAGCAAAATTAGATTGTAACTTCCCGAGTGTGACAAATAGGCCTCCTCAACAAATTTTGCTCATTAATCATGAGTTTATTTTAGTAAATCCCCAGAGAATTGTGGTTTTTTGGGGGGGTTTGTTTGTTTGTCTTGGGTTTTTTCCCCTCCCAGTAAACTATAGTACATTCTGTCCTATGAGCAGTCATTCTGGGCCAACTGAAGTTTCAATAGTTTTTTAGAATTGCTAGATCTTAAAAGATTTCTGTCAATGCTTATTATCGCCTAAGACAATAAAAGTATGCCCAAGTGCTAAGAATGCTCTCACATGGCAGCCTTGCTCTAGGAATCCCAGGGTGCTGGGGTCCGCGGGGCTGTCACGACACA